GGCAACATAGGCGCGGGCATAGACCAATTACTGGCATGGCTCTCATTGAGAGTCGCGATTTACGTGCACGATCGATCCGCGGTTGGCAACGCGCGCGATTAGAGACGTTCGCGCGTCCTTTCCTAAGAACTCATGCGACGTACACGAACGACACGAGTCCAACTGCGGTGGAACATATCAAATCTTCATTCCTTAAAACATTCAATTTTTAACGAAATATTCAAGGTTTTTATTATGAATTTGTTCGTACGAGTCAAAGATAGGCAGATTCTTGTATGAACTCGATCATATAAATCAGAGATAAGCAGAGTTCTCAAATCTTGATCCAAAGCAACCAAAAAGTTCGATCACGAGTTCAAAATTCAATTTCAATGTTCACCATCTAGATAAACTGATCGAATACTAAAAAGTAACTGACTGTTATTCTTCGAATCGAGAATTAAAATCAGCGTTGTGGAACGAGTTGCTTCACGTATAGGAATTTAAACGTGAACTGTGGAAAGAGGTATTATCGACCATTTTATTAGTTTTGTTTCGTAATAAGAGTGGAACTGTGAAACAATAAAATTTTGCGCGTCATTGTTATTGGTCACGCAAGGGGAAAACCCGTTCCACCAGGTTGGCAGGATTTTCTAGAGCAAAAAGGTAGATCCGCAAATGAATTGTAAATAAGGAAGCGCGGATCGGTTTCAGGCTCGTTTATGAAATCGTGCTTGTTAGCACGGTTGCGTACCTGAAAATATGGAGAACGTATATAAAATCTAGAACCGCGCGAGATCGTCTACCGAGATACGTAATCAGTTCGTTGTAAAAAAAACTTTCAGCTGCTCTCGCGAATCGTTATGGATTGAGTTTGCGGAGCGATTAGCGCGTTCCACTCGAAAAATTAGCGTCTGAAAACGTTCTTAATAAAGGAAAAGCTTGCCTAAACGATTCCGTTCGCGAGCGTAACTTCGAATGCTTATCATAATTTCCAGCACTATCCCAGTTTCTCTTAAATGGGACAGAAAAATCAGCAATCGCTACAAAAATGGAGGCCCTGTAAATACAAGGCTCGATGTTAAAATAGACATTGGTATTCCAGCCTGAGAGGTCTCAGAAATTACACAGCTAAATGAAATGAGACTCCAAGAATAGGATTTACACAAAGTATATCCATCGCTCGTTTCATACTCGAGCATTAATTGCGGCCAGGCGAACCAACAAGCGTGCAAGCGTGTCTTTGTTATGCTTTCTCGCTCACTTTCACCTGCCAAACGTTTTCTTCTCGACTAATTCCGCGAGACACTTCAGAGTCTCTCAGACTAGACGATTTCATTTGCATAACCACCGCGAACTGTTCCAACAATTCGCGACCGGTTCTATCATAAATTCTTATCTTCTGATAAATCAGGTCCTAGCTGGTATCTTCTAGACGAATTTCCGAAATGGTTCGCGTCGTAAATCGAACATGCAGGAAGCCGCAGACGGTGTTAGGGGCGCAAGTTCAAGCCGTGTTTAGCGCCAGCTCGTTGAGTAATCGAAAAACTGTAGACGTGTTTCTGCTCGAGTCGGTCTCCTCCTAGTAAGGAGGTAACTCTTACACCAGGTGATCAGGTTCGCCGCGAGTTAAACGCCTGCTAGGCGTGTGTAACGCTTATTAACGGTGTTCGCGTTCCCGCGTCGATCACGGGGATCGACGAGGTCGAGGTCGCGAGGTCAGATACGCGATGATCGACGGTGACCCGGGCGCGATCGTCAAAGCGGCTTCTTTGGGGCCCCTGCTGGTTCCTGATCTAGTATCCAATTATGTTTCTTGGTTCCTTTCAATAAGCAGGATATGCGCGAACAATTTATTGATTAGAATTGGATTCGTCTGGTTAATAAATTTACTAAATATTTTTAATTAAATTTAGGTACATGTCAAAGTTGATCGGGACCACTTTACTCTGGTATAAAGTAATCGTATTTTGAATTAATATGCGCGCAACACCTCGTGGAAAAATTCCTTGTGGGTTCGAGAACAAAAGAAAATTGAAAATTGACACTGTAGATTAGAAACACTTTACCAACTGATAGCGATTCAGGGTATTGTAGTCGATATTTGAGAACGAAATGTGAGGATCGATACGTTCGAACGCGGGACAAAGGCCTGGCGTTCGGTGGAGGTTTCCGATGGTCGGAAACGAGCGTTGATCAACGGTAGGAGACCAAGTTACGCAGAGGAACGTCCGATCTGTGAACCACGTGTTACTTTATAAATTTACGTATCTTATATTTACGTATTTGTGAAGCAGATTTTAAATATATATTCAACCTGTCCTAACAAAAGAAGCTCGTAATTAGTCCATCAAAGCCAATCTAACAAACCAACTCTCCACCTGTAAAAGATGATGTCGTCAGAGATTGTCGGCCACGGTCCAAACAACATAATTCGCGTCGAACAGCAGTTGACACGCGTCATTCGATCGAATCAGTCGATTTCATGGCTGCGAACCGTTCCAACAGTCGTGGAAGAAGTCGCGGAACGTCGCGTAACGTCGTTTCCTCGACGCCCCGACCATAACGCCGCGATTCACCGTGGGAATCTCTCGACGTGTACCGTTGCATCTCGTCTTTCTTGCCAATTGTCCCGCCAAACAGACCGTGATTCCATTTAACCCCTGCGATTGTCGCTTTATCTAATGGCGGCGGGGGTGGTCGTCACCTGAAGGAACAAAGAAGAATTTACTTTCGACACGGTGACCATAGAAAGAGGTGGACGACGATGTATGGTTGGGAAATAGTCGGAGATTTCAACAGAGATGCGACGATGTACAGCGGAAGAAGGTCTCCGGGAATCTTCGGAGCTAAGATCGAGGACTCTTGTGGCTCTTGGGAGGATTGGGAGAAGATTCTTGGGATTTGGAAGATGTTGGGATAGGTGGAAGAGGATTTTGAGGTAGTGGAGTAGAAGGAAGGAAGGTGGAAGAAGGATTTCTACCCTTGAGAAGCTCATGGCTCGCTTAGAAATGAATTACTGAATCTTTCTGAGCTCGTGGAGTCGATACAAGAGGATTTCTACCCTGTGCTCATGGCACAGTTGAAGTTCCATCCTCCATAGCCTAGAGAGAGACTCTCAACTTTTATCACCTCGTGGCATACCTGGCAAAACCTTCTCATCCTTCACGATGAACTCACGAAGTTGGATTCGCTCGAGCAATCAGGAAAAGTGAGGCGGTCGAGACTCTGTTCTAAACCGCGGAAATGGGTCGTTACACTGGATGTGAGAAATAAAAAGAAAATCGAATCCCCTTCGGCTGTGAAGTTCAACTTACGTTCGTCCTACTAAATTTCCTATACTAAAATTCATAAAACACGTGGTTTGTACGCCGATGGGACGCGCCAATTGGATGACCCACGAGGTCAGTTGACATTGAAATCTCTCATAAAGTTACAAAAAACAAATCGACGCAAGCTTCCCTCGTCTATTCGACACGAAGCAGTGTCGTAACTGACGGCACGACTGCGTAATTGAAATTAACGGTGGCCCCATCGTGTCCGTGATATAACAGAAATCGATAGGGATCTGTGAAATTAAAACTCGTGGGAGCGCGTAAATCGGCGGAACAATGGACTGTTTATTAACAGGAAGCGTATCGCGCGGATCTTTCTTCACAATCAGTATGCAGACGCGTCGGGGGTTGAACGTAGCCCGTAATTACTGTCTAAAAATAGAGAGGAGTGCGATACCGAAGAAATATTTACTCGCAAGAAAATTTAATGGCGGGGGAATAGATTTTTTTTTTAATTATTGAGGAGAAAATGGTTCTAGCGATGGTGGGAGGAGGAACCTTTTCCGGGCGACCAAAACAATCCCGGGCGCGTAAAGAAAAGGAAACCGCGCTGTTGGAGCGTCAAAGAACCCGTTTCCCATCGACTTGACCGATATATTCGATCCCACGAAAGCGATGCCCTCTGTTGCACGTCGAACATCCGCAAAAACTTGGAAGCTGTTCCCCGAGTGCACGCGATCGTTCCTCTCTCGCTGTTATTACAATCCCTTGGCGATAATACCACTCGAATCCTGGAAAACGTAGGCTCGTTCGTTGCGTCAAGAGGCTCCCTCTCTTTTCCTCTCGATCGCTTGGTAACGGTAAGCTCGTTGGTAGGGAGAAAAAAAAAGAACCTGAAAACAGTCGGTCGAGGGTGACGGATGAATTAAAAATTGTAATCGGAGGCCGACTGGTTCGTAATACGCGCCTTAGTTGTACCGTGAGAAACCCAACGTCCGAGTGTATTTTTGCCAGCGATCCATAGATCGTGACTGGCTTGGCGGATCACCAGAGCCCACGGTTTCGGTTCGTTAGCGGATCAATTGCGCTGAATGAAAATGCCGGTGCTGCTACTTCTTGCCGCTTAGGCGATTTTTCTATATTCCCTGGTGACCTGCTCGCCCGCGGTGTCGATAGATCGGTGGAAATGATTTTTGTCACGAAGGGGTAGGGATACGATTGATTTTTATTTATTATATATAGAACACGTAGAATACGGTATTAATTACAGTAATTAAATTGCTACGTGGTTCGTTATCGTAGAATTATTTTATTAAGCAGTGTAACAATAATTTCGAGGATGCTACCCTTGTAATATTATACTCTATAATGATCCTTTTGTACGTGGAACAATAATTAATTACGAAATAAGTGCGAGGACAAAATTCAGATAAGAGTGTGTGAAATTCTCTCGAAAGAGCGGAACACCGGAAGTCGCCGGGAACCCGTGTAAGCGCATCTCCGTTTCGCGGAGAACCTCGTACCTCAGATCCTTCCTTTAGAAAGGATCACGAATCCGTTATGACATTCGAGGTGGCACGCGAAGCCAGCAAAAATCGAATAAAGCCAGGGCTCGAGTTACTGCTGCTGATCATTATTTTTCAAAAATTTTCATCTTTTCACCAAATGGAAGGCCGCCTTTAAATACACACGAAATAACTTCCACTTTCAACTGCTCTCAAAAAATATTATATCGTTCTTAACTTCCAATTAAATGGAAGATAGCTTGCTTCCATTAAAGTTGCCGAGTGGGAAAAGTACCGGGAAAAAGTTCGAAGGTGTTCTGCTGCAATTTACTGTTCAGGCGAAAGACGCGAAAGCCCGCAAAAGTCGAGCAGGAGCCTCTCCTCTCCTCGTCTCGTTTCCTGTTGTCGGTCATTGTTAGCGGTTTTCGGGCGCGCATCCGCTCGCGGAGAAAGCGGATCGCCTCGGAGCGATGCGCACCTCCTTCTGTTGCGGCCGCTTCCGCCACGGTACGTGCGGTTTCCGGTGCGTGGCGCACGTACGATATCGGCTGCGATATACCACCGCCATCCACGTATCGATACTCAGTCGGAACTAGACTGTCGGTCGCGCTGGTCGTGGTCCTCGTTCTAGTTACACCTTTTCTATACTCACCTGCGCGAGTCTTCCATCGTTATTGTTTCTCGATTTTATTCAGAAGGTGATTGTGCAATTTTGTGGATAGACCGTTGTTTCATTCGTTTTTATCTTCTTTATTTAATGCGATTTTGTGGAGGTATTTCATTGTTATCGTATCTCAATTTTTGTTAACAAGATTCAGTGGCACTTTTGTGTGGACTTTTATTATCGTTATTATTTTTCTTTTTTTTTTTTTTTTTTTTTTTTGAATTGGTTTCCTGTGAAACTTTTGAACGGAGTGTGATATTTTTTAAAGAATTTTAATTTTGATCGATCGAAGGAGAGTGTCAGTTCGCGTCATTGACGAGGAACATTGTTTTTCTTTTATGTACATATATATATATATATACATATTTAAAAGTGAAACTGTTACGGTGATAATTGTGAGTAGTGAGACTCCGACAACAAAATTCAATTTCCTTGTTAGCTTGGTAATTAGTGCTATCGAGGACGAAGATAAAACATTATCTTAAAAATTGTCTTATCGACTTCCTGAGGGTCTATCGTGTGTCCACTTGTTTGCCCGAGTTAAAAGTGCCGAAAAGTGTCGCCATAGTCACCATAATTATTGGAACTAAATTATTTTACACAATCCGTTTGCAAGACAAGACAAATTCTATCCGATGCACGTCTATCAATTACTTTTAGAATAAATATCTCATAATAAAAATAAAATCTTAAACATAATATCGAGGACCGCTATCTAAAGTCGCGAACTTAGCCACGTCTTAGAAGCCAGATTTCTCTAAAAATCAACCCTCGAAAAAAAAAAGAACAAAAAAATATTTACAACAGGACCAACTCTCCCCAAAAGCTTGACCTACTGAAATTCAAAGAACGATATCTGGAATTCCCTGAGAATCGGTGCCCAATGTCCGACCAAATAGCAGTCGACATTCGAGCGTCCAGGAGCAACCAACTCGTGGATTCGCGTGGTTCCCCAGGCCCAGTCACGGTCCAAGCGTATCCTGAATGCACCCTGGGAATATCCTGGCGGGAATATCCACGCATTCCGTATCAACGAGTTATGAAATACCGACGTGGAAACGCTCGGCCTGCTTCGAGAGGTGGTTTTGCATTTCAGTTTCTCGATCGAATTCCACCTTTCCTCTTTCTCCGTCCCTCCCCATTGCGCCACCTCGCTCCCTCTCCTTTCACGCTTTTGTTTCGCTAGAAGCGAGTTCAGGAATTTTCCGACGGCGAAACGCGCTTTCTTTCCGCGAGTTTTCCGTCGTGGGTGAAACTAACTAACCCTCTAGCATCGATATTTATATTTATATATTCTTTTTTCGTGTCTCTTTGAATCAATAATTAACTGCACAAATATTGTAGCACTCGTTAAATATTGAAAATATTTTTTCGTCTCAAATACAAATATAAATATACCTCTTTTTTTAAATGTAATTACGATATTTAAAAGTGGATACAAAACAAAGGGTCGAGGAGTCTTGTGTGATTAGTCACGTGTTAGTAGAGAGGAGTTTCTTTGGGAAATTGTGTGATTCTAACTCTTGGAATTAGACCTGACACCATGACTCCTTTTCCAGTGAATTTACTGTTTTAATCGCTCTTGTCCTACAAAGAAAACTTCCCTCCGATGAAATATTAGTGAAATGTCGATCAGTAACTAACGAGTACTTCTTGTCTCTTGTTGCAGCACCAAGATCGTCCAGTGCAGGTACCAACAATCTACCACCGTTGACGTTCCATCAGGTTCATGGCGACAATATCACGCTCTGCAATGGCGGGACCATCGCCAGAAGACACGAAAGCTTCTGCAAGGGCATCACGTTTAGCGCCAGGCCCGTACGAGTCGGCGAGAAGGTGAATTTTTCAGTACTTGAACTTCCAACAATAATTTGACTACACCCAGAAAAATCGTGGATTTAATTTCACCTCTAAAAAGTCGAATTCGAACAAAATTTCATTTATAAATATAAATATATTAACCTTTAGGAGAGTCGAACTTCCAACAATAATTTGAATACACCCAGAAAAATCGTGGATTTAATTTCACCTTTAGAAAGTACAATTAAAAAAAAATCCCCGCGCATTTTCCGACCGACTAGGAGTCCCGTAGCAAACAGTCGAGGTAATCGAGCGAGTCGCTCGCTGAATAAGGTAGATTTTCCGCCGCGGTTGGAGAGAGGAAAAACTGCCATTTTTCCGTGTTTCCTCGTCGCCGTTGCCACTCGTCCAGCAAATCGTATACGCCAGAGCGACGCTTAATTGTGAGAATCGGGTGACTTTTGTTCCACTCGACAGAGCAGTTGTTTGCATTCCCTGTCTATTAAACCGTTGCTGAGTCGTGTCTGAGCGACCCTGAGGAGGCCAGCTATTTCACGTGTGGGCCGACGGTTTAGCGTTCGCTCGTCGATTTCCCTCGCAACTTGTCCATATCCAACTAATCCCATCCATTGTAACCATGGGAATGAATACACGCAACGTGTTCACCATATATAAATCATGGATACAGTCGGAGTACGTACTGCGAGGAATACTTTCTCCAATTTTCATGAAAATATGTTGAGTTTAGAATTTGTTCAGGACTTCGGACTAGGGAAAGTAACGGTGTTTGAGAATTTTTTCTGACGATACCAAACGTCCGGTATAAATTTCCCATACGTATATTAAACAGTACATCCCCTCAACAATATTTCTACCAATTTTCATAGAAAAATATTCACCCGCACAGAAACCACAGCGAATCGTCGCTAAGTATCGCGAGAAATTGTTTCCATCATATCTCTTAAAGTATTCCACTTATAAAGATATTTCTAGAACAAAATCTCTGCGATTTTTAATGGCCAATAAAATGGTGTACGCATCAGTGTAAAAAAAATAGTAAAAAATGATCAGATTGTCCCCTGTCGCTGTTACACTCCAGGACATTGTTGGTACGCGTCTACGAAGTTGCGTACGCTGGGTCTCCTTTCATCCTTCTTCCCTCCTCCCCTTTCCCGCAGAGTGGAGATTGGCAGCGTGGGCGAGGCATTCGAAGGTTCTCTTCACTGGATTTCACTTAAACGCCTTGGAATTGGATTCCCTGCGTTAGATCAGAAACGATCCACGGTAATTCGACGTCTCGCGAATAAGAGACACGGTGGGCGTTAATTGGTCGATCAGCTTTCTTATTCGAACGCGATAGTAATTGGTCCCTTCTGAGCATGGATGTTAACGTTGCTAACCGAACGGAATGTCATCGGAACAATTGTCAACAGTCAATATTTATTTGCCTCTATACTTCACGCCTCAACAATAAGAACACTGTTCGTATTCCTGTGGAAAGGCATTGTTTCGAAATTGAAAAGCAGCTTTCTCCGGACTGCCACCGAGCCTCGTTTTTCCCTGGGAGCATTTTCAAATCGCACCATTCGCTCGTTTCCCTCGACAGTCGTCCACTGTCGTGTATCGTAAAAAATGAGCAGCTCGTCGAAACAAAGCGGGCGTTTATAGAGGCTTTCCGTTCTCGGAAAAGGAACGGAGCGTTCGGATTCGATATTTCGTAACTAGGTCCCGTCGTTTACTATCGCCCTTGAGATTTTCGTCACGTTCGGTCTTGCGATACAACCGTGGCCTCAACCGACTGGCGAAAAAGTCTTTCCTTCGATGGGATTCGCGATGTTGCGATTAGAAATTGCCAGCTGAAATTATATAGAGTTAAAATAGAAATTAAATCGTATTCTTTAACGCGAGCACCAGGTTTACGAAGCTTGGAAATATCTCCGCCGCATTGTTCGTTTTTGTTTAATTTTATAATAACTGCGACCGTTGCAACTTTATCGAAAGCAATAGGAACAGGTGTACCGATTAAGGTTCTATTAGAGACACGATCCGTCCAATTATTCACGGATACGCGACGAAAGGTTGAAAAGGGCTCCCCAGTTCGCTTCTGAGGAACACAGAGATTGATTTAATTCCACGTCGTCGACACCCACAGCTCGGGTTTCAATTATGCGAGGCTGTGCGATCAATATTCGCGTGACACCGGTGTCTCGTCGCTGGTGTCGTGAGTGTTTCAGAATTTACTGTATCTCTAATTGATTAAACACCGAATGTATTACAAGTTGCTTCATCCTCCATTATTTACTTATTCGAAATAAATAGTAGCAGTGTGACTGAAGCAATTGATTGAAAAATTTGCAGAGGAAAAACACGGGAATTTATGCCACAGACCTTTTTCTTTATAGAAGAGGAAACTGTGATAATTAATGCTTTGAACAAAAATCGTATGAATCAAGTTTATTAAAAAGTATTTGAAACGTGCGTCACAGGAATGTAGGGACCGTAAGGTCACAATGATTGGGCACGTCTGATACCCATTAGGATTTGTAGGCCACCAGCCTTACGAAGAATACCTACTTTGATTTATAGTCTTTCGATACTATGTTGGAAACTCTTGAAGAATTTCCTTTATTTTACCCATTCCTCGACTTAACGTAACCTACGTTTAACCCTAATCGCTTCTGACAGAATGACCCTTATTCTCGGTAAGAATTATTCTACAGGACGTGTGATTTTTATTAATATAAATTTACTTCATTTTTTTTTTATACTCCAATTCTTGTCATCTTTTCTCCTTTGAACGGTATCTGATGACACTGATAGCTAGAGTAGAGACCTAGGAGATAGTTTCTCGTCACTCAGCTTCATCCTCGGTCACCCACGCTCGGGCCACTCCCTCGGGGATCTTATTAACCCCTCAGGCACGACGCCACTTTCGATCTCGAGTAACGCAAGACACCCAGTTAATTCAATTTTAGCGAAGAGCTGTGAAATAATCACGCGATTGACAATTGTGCTTTTCACGAAAAAAAGTTAAATATCCGTATGACCATCAAAGAACATCCAAACAAAAATTTAGACATGCTCGGGACACCCTAAAGTATTTTTCAGAATTTTCTCACGTTTCTTCTTCACTTGTCTTTTCCGATATAAAATAATAATTATATAAAAGATATGGAGAATTGCAAATTTTCAAATTTCTCGACCGCCATATTGGATCGGCCATCTTCATTCCGCCGTGCTCGTATTTAAAATCCAACCTCGCTTTCTGACTCAGCAAGAGCGCTCCCTGGGTATTTGATAAATGTCAAGAAAATTCTGTAATACCTATACCAACCTTTCATTTTTAATTCCAGGTGTGCGTCAAGTTCCTCGAGATCTCCGACAACTGGAGCGGCGTGATAAGGTTCGGTTTCACGAGCAACGACCCCATCAACCTTCGAAACGGTCTGCCCAGGTACGCCTGTCCAGACTTGACGAACAAACCAGGCTATTGGGCGAAGGCTTTGACCGAGAAGGTGGCAGACAGAGACGCCGTCCTGTTCTACTACGTGACGTCGGCCGGCGACGTCCATTTCGGCGTGAACGGCGAAGAAAATGGCGTGTTCTTCAGCGGCGTGGAGACTCGCGGCCCCTTATGGACGATCATCGACGTCTACGGCAACACCACCGCCATCGAGTTCGTTGATCCCAACAGACAGCACTTCAACAACATCAGGAGAGGCGCCGAGCATAGCAACGAGGACAATGCGCAGCACAGCAGGCACTCGGCCATGGACGATGCCAGCAACGCCGGCAGGGACCTCGAGAGGATCATCCTTCCGTCCATGCAGAGCATGTCTATCCATCACGAGCCCGACGTCGAGCTGCCAGGGCTCAGGTTTCAACCGGCAGGCGTCATCTTCACACCGTTACCTTTCCACCCGTTAGTACCTATGTGGTCTATTATAATCTAAAGCTGATTGGGCCCCCTGTACCCTAATTCGAGATGTCAGGCGTGGCCTTTGTTTCCTACATCCCTCGTGACTTCATCCCAAAGATCCCAAGAATTGGATGTGTCGTACAGTTAGACGTTTCTTAAAACTATTTCTTATTTAACGTTGATTAACTGTCTATTTATACTGTACTTTACTACCTTCTCGAAACAACCAGTAACCCTCACCTATAACCCTTCTCTATTGGCAGACTCGTGCAACGATCTAAAACCTAACTCATTGGCAAATTTCCCTCCTAAACTGACGTCTCGTGCTTCCAAACGTCGCGATACCGCAACAAGCAGTCGTCTTAATCACTTCCTCGTTTCTTTTTCCCCAGGACTCGAGGCAGGAACATCCGCTTCAGTAACCAGCAGTGCGTGGCAACGCGCACCGACACGGAATTCTGTCACGGTTACGCGTTCACGGGTCGACCGTTGCTGCTCGGAGAGCGCCTGGTGGTGCAAATACTCGCCACAGAGCCGATGTACGTCGGCGCTCTAGCGATGGGTCTGACCTCCTGCGATCCTGCTCGCCTAACAGCCGAAGACCTACCCGACGACAGCGATCTCTTGCTGGATCGTCCCGAGTACTGGGTGGTTTCTAAGGACGTGGCCTCTAGCCCTCAACCTGGCGACGAGATAGCCTTCACAGTGACCCACTTTGGAGAGGTTCAAATGAGCAAGAACGGCGGTCCTCCAAACGTGGTGATGCATATCGACCAGAGTCTGCAGCTCTGGGCGTTCGTCGACGTGTACGGTAGCACTCAGCGGGTCAGAATGCTGGCCAGCAGACCCACGTCTCCACCGCGACAACGACAAAGCAACTCATCTCCGGCCACTATCGTTCAGCAGCAACAGCAACAGCAGCAGTTCTCGAATCACAGTAACGCTGCCACCGAGCTCTCCAGATTCTCCGAAATGGTTCAGTTTAAGCCGGCTGTAGGCGGTGGCACGGTCCTCGTGGTGAATCTACCGCCACAAACCAGCTGCCCGACGCCACCCTCGTCCACACCTCAGCCCACCTACGCCTCCGCGGGCCACAGAAATCCTCATCTGCACCTGCCACCAAGCGCCCTGGCGTCCACGTCGCATCCAGGATCATCCAGACAGACCTCGGCGCCGTTGACGGGCACCATGGCCAGCACGGGTTCCTCCACTTACGTCGATCCCGTCAACTACCAGAGTATGGACGGCACCCTCACGTCCCAGGCGTCGTCGCACTTGCAACAGTGGAGCGAGGGCCTTCAACCCACTCCTGGACAACCCAGCGAGTGCTCCATCTGCTACGAGAGGAGCATCGACAGCGTCCTGTACATGTGCGGACACATGTGCATGTGCTACACATGCGCCATCCAGCAGTGGTGCGGCAAGGGCGGCGGACTCTGCCCGCTCTGCAGGGCGCCCATCAAGGACGTGATTCGTATTTACAGATCCTGAACAACGGTGCAGGGTCTGCGCGGAAGGAACAGTTCCAAGGGCTGATGTCTCCTGATTCGTTAAACTCGTCTCCTCTGCGACTAGGCAAACGGCGTGCTTCGCTCGTGGATCGCTGTTCCGTTGTTTATGGCACGCGCTCGTTGTTCTCGTCTGCGACGCGAAACTGTGCTCGGGACGGTGGGTATCCTCGAGTTCTTTTTGAAGAGGGACTTCTATGATCGTTAGGAGATAGAGGAGGGACGGTGGTTTGTGCCGATTCTCAGGACCGTCGTTGAGAGAGAAAATTAAACAGATCTGTGTTGTTGTCTCGAGACTCTTGTCGATCAGAATGTCGTTAGAGAGATGGAGATGCTTCCACGGTACATGGTCTGCCACCGTCGCCACCGCGAGACGAGAACGCGAGACGTGTTCCTCTAGACCCAGCGTGGTCGTCGATCAGCGAATCCTTAACCCAGATTGGTGGTATTCGCGGTGTCGCTGGCAAAATTGCTTTAGTCTTCGAGCGAGTGACCACAGTGAGCTTTCGAGAACAGGAGGGACTAGAGAATGAGTGAGTGTATATGAGCGGGAGAGAAAGTGACAGAGCGTGATTGAGAGTGAAACAAAGAGAAAGGGCTCGTCGAGACTATCGGCTCTCCCTCGTATTAGAGTTTTTGATCTATGGTCATCCCTTGAATGGGCAACGATTCTCGTACGATGGAGAGTCGATAGCCTGGCGGATACCCGAAGCATTGATCTTCGATATTTTCACAATCGACATTATATATATATTATTGCTACCATCGCCAATTAATGTTAACGTTACTATTATTACGCTCACCGCTGCTACAATTCTCAGCCTTTAGTTCTTATTATTTTTATCATTACAATTATTCTTAGTAATATTATTATCACGATCCGACATCATAGTGGGTCGTGTTACATTTATTATTTTTATCGAGTAGACGTTGCTATTGACGGAGTACGATTGCCTATTATCGTTGTTTTTATCGCTCCAGACACATCGATGTCTCGGCGTCGTACATTTGGTATCTTATTTAATACAACCCGTGTGATTACGTAGTACGAATCTCTGTAAGCCACCACCACCACCATCACCGCTACCCCCCGCCCCCCTCCCCAAGGCCGTAGTTGTTTAGAACTCTTCGATTTTTTTGTTCGCTTTCCTCGATTCTTCTTTCTTCTTTTTGTTCGCGTTCTTCATCGGCGTTCGCTTCGAAGCGACACCCAAAAACGCGTGTCACCCGGCCGGTCTTCCAGACGCGCGTTTTTTCCCCCCTTCTCGTTTGTTACTTTCGACAATAACGCTTGGATATAACGTTTAAATAGCGTGTAAAAGCCGGGCGAAAGCGCGGAGCCGCAGCGACTTATTAGCCGTGTATGTATAATGACTACAATAATTGTACGTATTACCAAAGAATAGCGCGCGACGTTCTCCTCCCGCTCTGCGTACGTTTCAAACGAGCTCACGCAACCTCTCCACGCAGCCAGCCTTAAAGGACGATAACTTTTTTGATACGTTTAGACTTAGCGTGTTAACCGTTTCTACCGAGCTCGAACAACCAAGAGAATTGAGACATCGTCCACAGGGCAGTCGCGACGCGCGCGCATACTCTAGCGTAACTCTCACTCCGTAACGAACTTTTGCGCGGTGGTGGTACTAATAAGACGCGGACGATTCGTAGGTCAAAGAGACATGTAATTCTGTACCAATGTTTACAAGTACCACCACCGTATAAAAATGAGAATCATCGGACTCGTTCGTCCTAGAAGCGGCCCAACGCGACGCTGCGCGTATAGCAGGCAAAACTAGTTGAATTCCTAACCGTATCGACGACAAGAGTACAAGCAAAGTTACTATGTTAGGTTGCGTAGCGTTCCAAGGGACAAGCGACAGAGTTTTAGAGGCTTTTATCAGTGTTGACAACTAAAAAGAAATTATTTGGGGAGCTCTCGGTAGCCAACTACTAGTCTGTTAGATCTAGCCAAGTTTAGTACGAGTCAACCGACTCCCTATATCGCGGGAGTTCAAGCAACGATGCTGGACCTGATCTGACGCCATTTGGCGATCGGAATTCCTCATTTGTTATGGACTAAAAACGATTTATAGAATCCTCTAGCGTCGCGTCAGGCCGCTTCGCCCGATGTCTCTTAGCCTGGAAGCGCTTACCGCGTTGCGATATGCCTCGACGAATCGTCACTGCCCAGTTCTAACGTGGACAATCGAGACGACGGGCCGTGAAACGACCTTGGCGACCTCGTCGCGCGGCCCGTCGACCACGAGGATCCTCTCTATGTAAGATCACATTATTTTCGTACAGCAGCGAGACGCGCCAAGGGCGGCGACGTTTTTATCCCCCTCACCCGGCCCTCGAACGCGTCGCAGACACCCCAGTTTGCGACCTAGCGGACGAGAGATGAGCGTCCTCGAGGCCGTGCCTTATATAAACATTTGACGACGCGTCTTATCGTGCGACGTTGCTCGCCGAGCTTTCTTAACGATCGACGAAGATCGCCCTGGGCTGAGGTCTTCTGACGTCAGCTCTGACGGTCCCTATACTACGCCTCAACTCCGTCGAGCCTCGTCAGAGGCGTTCAGCGTGTTCAAACGGGTCAACGAGCAACTGTGATTCCAGTATCCAAGGTGACCAGTAGTCAGGGTCTACCTAGCAATGTCCAATCGCGAACGCTGGGTTGCGTGATCTGTAACTTGCTGCTTGTCGATGCTTTTGGTGAGAAATTTGGACGGTAACGGTGTTCAGGGAAAGGTTAGAATTATTTGTCCGGCTTTATTGAGTGATTCAGTGGTTAATATAATTGATGCACAGACTACTGCGTATATAGAAGCTTGCAGAGCAGTCCATAACTGTTCTCGAATTATTAAAATCCACGGAACCTTGAAGTTACGAATAATAAATTTAGATAGTTTTTACAATTTTAGCTATTCACAACGAATCAGACTGAAGGATTTTTGAGAACAGTTACCATGTTTGTTCCTAAGCATTGAAAAACCTAGATCGTAGCATCACTGATTCTGAGATCTTTGCAGATATCATAGCAAGACTGTGCCTAAAACTGCCAAACCTGCTCAAAATATAGAAAAAGTTGTGTAACTTTGCGGATGACTAATATCACTCTAGAAATTCACTTCTTCACAAAGTTTGGTTCGTGATCGATACTTATTTCCTTCTGGTTTCACAAAAGTGACTAAAGAAATGGCAAGTCAGCGAGGAACTTGATGCAAGTTGCTCGTAGCTCGTTTCCAGCGATATGGTTCCAAACATAAAAGAGCCCAGCAATATCGTCGACCAGTTCTTCTCCAGCGAACGAGTTATCCATACAAGGAGGCTCTTCGCTGGGCGAAGAAATGGTCGGGTGTTACTGGAGAAAGCGAGATGTAGAGAGAATGAGTGAAAGAGCGAGAGCGAGAGAGAGAGAGAGAAAAAAAAAAGAGTGTTTAGAAAATCCCTCAAAAGAACGAGATCGTCGAGTCTGAAGATTGGGATCGTGGTGTTCCTAACCGTACCCGGAGACGCGAGAGCGAAGCGACAAAGCGAGATAGAGAAAGAGAAAGAGTAATAGAATGGTCCTTCTCGAATAACGGATGCGCAATAAAGCAAGTAGTAAAATCTCTAGTCCAGCGAGCGGCAGCTTTAACTCGCCTGCCAATCCAAAAAAGAAATGATGAGATGAGGAAGCGTGTTGATTTGTGTGCGAGAGAAAGAGAGAGCGAGAGAGAAAGAGAAGTAGAAGAGAAGAAATTTTATAAAGATACAAAGTTTTAATGAAAGAATAATTTGAAGAAAATTATCGCGCGTGTCGGACGAGACACGCGCATGGAGAAATCTTTTTATTAGATACGCTATTAACGATAGAACTATAATTGTAAATCGCGTTCGGCGTCGATGAGAGGTGTCAAAGCGAAATTCCCGCGATTCGATCAGTTGGCCCTGATTAATTTGCGAACTAAAAAACTACAACGACAAAACTAAATGGAAACGGAAAGGTTCAGATTCAGATACAAGTAGAAAGGGAAAATATTTCTGCGAAAGAAACGATGAACGCTGCCCGGAAACGTTAGGACACGTTGGATGACCTCGAGAAGGTATCCCAACGATAATACAGACGCTCTCGTTGATGTCAACCGGATGTCATTGTCGTCGTCGTGTCAGCATTACCGTGTATCGATGTGTACCGATTGATTAATGTTCTTACGTTCGTCACTATCGCTGTTCTTCTACCACCCCCGCCAAACCCTCTTACGTGACCGTTTCCATTCCAGACCGCGCGCAGATCGAACAGCCAACGCCACCAAAGGCACATGCGCTCGACTGCGCCAACTCGCGGCACATGCGGGCGCACGTGCCTCCTCAACCTCTGCGCGGTCAGATTCGTAGAGATATTATATAGATCTCTACGGTCAGAATCCGAGATTTCGTTTCTTTTTTTCGATTGTCACGCGAGGTGACTCTAACCTCTAAGTCTTTATGCGTTTTTTCTTTTTTTTTGTTTGTTTTACGAGTTTCTTTTTGTGTCTTTCGACGTGATACGCACAAGAACACTTGGGAGTGTGCACGATTCGGAAGTGTACGAAAGTCTGCGCGCGCACCTCGTCATATCATCGAGTGTGTGCTGTTTATTACGTCACGGTAAAAAAAAAAAAAAGAAAAAAGATACGTCACCTTGTATCCCCTCCCCCACCCCGTGCCCTGAGATGCGAAAGAAGTCTATGTGCGATAAGAGTTCTCTCCATGAACCTAACTGTAAAGATGCCGATACAAATTTATACATATGTAATATAATTCGTGCGGCCGTGTGCTGTTCTACACAATAAAAAGCCTGTAATATCTACGGACATCGTCGTCTGTTGAAGATCGATCCTTCTTCTTCTTCTTCTTTTTCCTGGAAACCTGAAAGAACTCTTCGACGACGAACAGAATATACATAATTAATTTTAGACAATTCTATTATCGTGGATTCACATTGACGTGGGAACTTTTGATGCAAACATCTTTAATATGAGCTGGCAAGTGACAGTATTAAATTGAAATGATAGGACCAGATTAAAAGTAAAGCTTTATTCGCAGTATAAAAATAGATGTACAAGTACGCTAAAAACAAGATTACCTATTAAAACGATGTACAGGACGAATACAAAGAAAACGAACGAAATCATTGTACACGGCAATACGAAAAGAATTCGTTGCTTCAGTCGGACCAGTCCGATAACGGAAAAAAGTTCCGTTAAAGAAATCTGATTCGTCTAATTTTCATCTTCACCCTCTCCAGCGTCCGTCGAGTCCATGCCAACTTCTTCGTAGTCTTTTTCTAAGGCAGCCAAGTCTTCCCTCGCCTCCTCGAATTCGCTCTCATCCATACTCTCCGCAACGTACCTGTTTCATTGAAATAATACTTCGCAATTGTATTGGGAATAACCTTTTATTTCATTTGCTATTATTTGGTAGCAATGTTACCAGTGGACGAATGCTTTTTTGCCAAACATCAGATCGAATTTTCTGTTCAACCGTGTCCACGCCTCTGCAATTGCAGTTGTGTTTGCAAGCATCGCCATGGCGCGCTGCACTTTGGCAAGATCCCCACCTGGTACTACGGTTGGTGGCTGATAGTTGATACCCACCTGAGAACGAAACTACTATATCATTTCAAATTTAAACTGTGGAGTATTTCAAAAATTCCCGCGGTACTGTGTGGTGCACAGTGAAACGCCATCTAGCAGGCCATGGACCAAACTGGACGTGAAGGTAACTTTGTGATACAGACAGTACCGCCAGATGGTATCAGTTATTACCATAAACTTGGAAGTGGCCTACATTATCAACAATCAGTTACAGCTGAACTCGAACGAAACTCCTGAAGACCGAGTTCCCTATGACATAATTATTCTCTTCAAGAAATGGGCGATGAAAGTACCTTGAACCCAGTAGGGCACCAGTCGACGAACTGAATGGCCCTCTTTGTCTTGATCGTGGCGATGGACGCGTTCACGTCTTTGGGCACCACGTCGCCCCTGTAGAGCAGGCAACACGCCATGTACTTCCCCCTCTGGGGATTGCACTTGACCATCTGCATGGCGGGCTCGAAGCAGGATGACGTCAGCTCCATGACGGTGAGCTGCTCGTGGTAAGCCTTTTCGATGGAGACTATTGGCGCGTACGTCGCCAGTGGGAAGTGGATCCTTGGATAGGGGACCAGGTTCGTCTGGAACTCCGTCAGGTCGACGTTGAGGGCCCCGTCGAACCTCAAGGAAGCTGTGATGGAGGAGACGATCTGACCGATCAGTCGGTTCAGGTTCGTGTACGTTGGCCTCTCTATGTCCAGGTTCCGCCTGCAGATGTCGTAGATGGCTTCGTTATCTACCAGGAACGCGCAGTCGGAGTGCTCCAGGGTGGTGTGCGTGGTCAGGATCGCGTTGTAGGGTTCCACCCCCGCGGTGGAGATCTGTGGGGAGGGGTATATCGCGAATTCGAGCTTCGCCTTCTTCCCGTAGTCCATGGAGAGGCGCTCCATCAGCAAACTGGTGAATCCTGATCCGGTGCCACCACCGAAGGCGTGGAAGATGAGGACTCCTTGCAGACCGCTGCACATGTCAGCGATCTTGCGGATCCTGTCCAGCACGAGGTCGATTATCTCCTTGCCTAGGGTGTAGTGACCCCTGGCGTAATTGTTCGCAGCGTCTTCCTTGCCAGAGATCAGTTGCTCCGGGTGGAAGAGCTGATGGTAGGTTCCCGTTCGTACTTCGTCTAGGGATGACGAAGGCAAATGATACTGAATTTTTTTTATAATAACTATGGATAATAGATGAATGAATTAAAGTTAGATATGCTTACCTATGACCGTGGGTTCGAGGTCCAAAAACACGGCACGAGGAACGTATTTTCCGCCACCCGTTTCACTGAAGAAGGTTTGAAACCCTTCGTCGTTGGTGCATCCTTGAGGTGGTAGCATGCCGTCGGGTTGTATGCCATGTTCCAGACAGTATAACTCCCAGCAAGCGTTTCCCATTTGAACGCCGCCTTGGCCAATGTGAACTGAGAGTACTTCACGCTAATTAATTTAATGGGAAATTGTTTAAGTTATTTTGGGGAGTCAAAAAACTCCTTTGGGTATTTCGATGGAAGTCAAAGGAACTTTCTGTACTGAGGCTATGGAGACGCTATTTAGTTAAAACTATTATTTAGATAAATAATCGGGGAAAAAGCTTGATAATATCAAATCTATTGAAGCAGGAATTACCATTTTGCTGATTCCTCGATGATTTTAGGGACCTGGAGGGGACCTGAGATTGACGAATCCAGTTGACGAGATGAACGACTGAATCCAACTGAATGTTGGAGACTTGGTCTTGAGGAATTTTGTTTTAGTTGCTGGGTGACAATAGTAATTATACTGAAGTAATTTGTAATTAAAGTAGATGTCAATTGAACGACGGGAATGTCCGTGTACGTAGCAAAGGCGTAGTTTTATAGTTTTTGGTTTAATTTTTATTAAAATTGTTGAGAATTTTTTCGGACAGTATAATTCGATCAGAAAGTTTTTTATTCTTTTTTTGAACGATGCTATGAAGAAGTATTAATTTTTATTAGTCGAGGGTGGCCACCCCTGTTCCAAGAACAGTTCGCTCCGTGAATCAGCGGACGAGGTGGCCGAGAGGTTAAGGCGTTGGACTGCTAATCCAATGTGCTCTGCACGCGTGGGTTCGAATCCCATCCTCGTCGACTAATTTTTTTGCTTTTACTAAAATCATACGTAACTTATTTTTTCACTTAAACCTCCACGTTTGAATAATTATTAAATATATCCTCTTACTAAATAAAAACAACTAATAACGAGTACTTACGAAAAAATTTTTATAAAGAATAATGTAACAGTGTTAGTAGTATTAATAGTGGTGGTAGTCTATTTAATCACATGCAAGAAATGAATCATAGGAACAATGAAACATGACACGCTGCATCTACTACCTACACAGGAATTATCATTAAAAAAGAATGAAAGTCGACGTCATGTATCGAGGGTGTTACATTTAAATTCCATTTGATAACGAAATAATTCCTTTATTTTGAGATTAAATTTATTATACAAATTATTTACTATTCGTTTGTTGTAAAAATATTATTTAACGCAAGTAATACAATAGTATTATGTTACACAATTGCGGTATATAAATTTATATCGATACTATAATTATACATTGGGACTACGCGTATAAATGCACGATAAAAATATTCTTTTTTGTTAATCGCAGATTAGCTAAGGCACCGTTTTGATTGTACAGGTATTACAGACATGAGATTACTGACAGTGAGTGAACTAAGACAGGTCATGTAATAAGTTAGTTTGAAAATATTTTATTTTTCTCCCATTTTCAACGCATGCGAGATATTTTCTTACTCTTGTCGTTTTCGATTGGGGGTGGCGGTCCTTTGGCATTGAGGTGTCGATTATATACACTGAAAATTACGCACATTGTTTTTAAACGCGTAATTAACACGTAACATAACTTACTTCTGATACTCACTATTTATATGTTTCAGAACGAATGTAATCCATGACGTGAGATATACCCACTTGCAGTTGGTCACCAATTGGCGTTACCCACGGATTGAACTCCATCCTGAATACTGCTTTGTTGCTCACTAAGTCCAGGTTACCTGTAACATAATTCTCAGTTAAGTATCTTCGAGGTATAATACAATCATTTTATCGTATTTATCATAGTTGGCACATACCTATCTCTGGTGGCAAAACTGTCAATCGATTCCTTTGAATATGTAGTTCCCTAAGCCGTGTCAGTTCACCTATTTCTTTTGGTAATTCTATTAAATCGTTTTCTCTCAGTACAAGCTAGAATGAAATTAAAAAGTACAAATGTATTAGTAATAAATACAGTTTATTATGAAAGTTCTTGTATACTTACAATCTGTAAATTCTTTAACTGTCCAATTTGTGGAGGTAAATATTCAAAGTCGTTGTCAGCCAAATAAAGTGCTCTTAACGTTTCTGTAAGGCAAAATATTGTAGCTAATGGCTGAAACAAGTTATAGTATTTTTTAATAATTGATCTTACACTAACCCATCATGAAAAAATTTCCAGGTAAATTCGTCTCGCTAAGATTATTGTACGTCAAGTCCAGAACTTCTAATACTGGGAATGCACCAAATCCACGTGGAAGCACATCCAACCTGTTCATTCTGTAAGTTCATTTCAATCGCTCTTTAAGAATTCATTTGAGATTTGTGTGTGATTGATGTAATATATGTATTTAGACCCTCGACTTACCCCACATTGAGAATCCGCAGCTTTGGCATCTGTGACAACGAGACAGGAAGCTCTGTGATGTGATTGTTAAACAGATTCAGTATTTCAAGATTGACTAAATTTGCTAGGCCTGGTGGTACAGCTACATAGAAAAGATATTTGTAGATAATACAGTTTGTCATTCACTGCTAACTCTGATTTTACAGTGAGAATTTACCTTGAATTTTATTATGGCTTAGAGTCAACCTGGTTATGTTGATCATGTTAACTTGAAAGAAAAGATGAATTCATAAATATAGAGTCATATGCTGCTAGAGAAAATTTAAAAAAATATTAGGAATCAGCAAAACGTTAGGAATTCATGAACAAATTTATTTCTTTAAAACAGACCAATCTTGGATTTAAATTGCACGTTCTTGGGAATCCCCTATTTCTCCATTTAAAAGTTACCAATGATTCCCAATGACTGTCAGTACAAATATGAAATTATACACTTCCTACAGAAGGAACATTCTTTTTAAATAATTTTGCGATCTGATTTCGCGATTGTTTGAAATAATTGTGTAGTTTTCAAAGCGATTTGGCGCGCACGCGTGGACACGCCCACCTCGTGGGCAGTGACAAATGGCCACCTCGGATTTCCGTCCGCTCCAAAAAAACCAGTCATGACAAGTTGCCTAATTTGGCGAAGAGGAAGCGAGCCCACGAGGGTATGTAAGACTCACGCAATCCAGGCATCTCCTCGAACGTCGAGATCCCCTTGTCCGCGAGATCCAACTCGGGATTTTCAATCTCTCGAGCTTCATCGAGCACCTTTTTCGCTTTTGACATCTTCCCCGCAGGAATACACGACACTGGTGCCTGATTCATTGCGCGCGCAATTGTACCAACGCGTCAGTAAGCTTTAAATAAACATACGCGCACCTCCCTGCGACTTCGCGACACTGACTGGACTTCACTGCATTTTATTTTACGGCTGGGATCTTAACGTGAATCACCGACAGATGGCGCCCACGTTCCATAATTTTGACTATAAAAATATGTTCGGAGATCGGGATTTTTTTTTAATTTCAAGCACTTGTCTAATTTTGTCTGTGTTTGAATTGTACCATTGTCAACGGATCTTGCAAGTATCCAGATGCCACCAAAATAAAAATTTTCAAACACGCATTCTCGACTTTTCTCTGTATATAAATGTAATTTTACATTCTAACTGCCATACTACAACTACTAGTTGTCGATTAGTACGCTAATAATTGCCTAATGCTTAGTTTCTTAAATAAATAAAAATACCGAAAATGTAGCGCGATCTAGCGTCTAGAAGTAGGAACTATATCACGACAAACTTGAGTAGTTCGCCGAGAGATGGCGCCACAGCTTTCGATAATTCTATTTATTTAAAAAACTTGTTATCAGTCGATTGTTAGTGTACAAATCAACAATTACATGTTGAGTTATGATAATTACTATGTAAAATTTCCTACTAACTTCCTTTCATTCTCTGGCACATTTCCCCTTAACTTCCCTCCAATCCTTGGCATATTTTCCTTTAATTTCCTTCCATGTTCTTCAATATTTCCCTATAATTTCCCTCCATTCCCTGGCATATTTTTCTTTAATTTCCTTCCATTTTCTGGAATATTTTTCTTTAATTTCGCTCCATTTGCTGGTATATTTCCCTTTAATTTCCTTCCATTTTCTTGATATATTTCCCTTAAATTTCCTTCCATTTCCTGGTATATTTCCCTTTAAGTTCCTTTTATTTCCTTACATATTTCCCTTTAGTATTCCGCCATTTCCTGGTATATTTCCCTCTACTTCCTGGTACATTTCCCTATAATTTCCCTTCATTTCTGTGATATTTCCCTATAATATCGCCTCTGTGATATTTCCTGGTTCAACAATGTTGCAATGGCTCCGCTCAGAAACACAACAATGTTGCAAATTCAAGAATGTTGTAAATTGCTCCGTTCGGGACTTCAACAATGTTGCAAAGTCGAGTCGATTTTTCGGATTTTGTCACATTTTGCCGAACTTCTGAGTTGCCACTTTGTTGTACTTTTGCGCTTCGCAACATTGTTGCAAATTTTTCCGCTCAAAAGTACAACAATGTGGCAACTCAGAAGTTCGGCAAAATGTGACAAAATCCGAAAAATCGACCCGACTTTTGGAACACTGTTAAGCTTTTGAGCTGATCCATTTGCAACATTGTTGTGTTTCCGAGGGGAGCAATTTGCAACATTGT